AAAAAAAAACATGTGGGAATAAGGCAGAAAGGTATGCAGAAAGGTACAGTTATAGATATACAGAAAGGTACAGCTATAATTACAAAATGCCTAGTTTTCATAGAGAAAGGAGAACGGATATGGACTTGACCATATATGGGAGACAAAGACAGGCTCAAGATGAGTTTTTTGTGAAAGGGTGAAAAATCGGTCATGAGACTTGCTAACTTTGCAGAAAGGAAATAGCCAAGGCTAAAATTAAGCTTGCCAGATCAGCAGATGTTCTCAGCTGTATTTTGCATATCGACATCTTGAGATGTTTCCAAAAAGGGGCTTGCTTATTGAGAAACGAAACCTAAAAAGTGTATGATCTAATTGCTTAACGTATGTATAATATTGACAGCTCTTTTAACCAATGATTTAATCTTTGGGGCGGCCCTTAAGGCCGAACCCCTTTTGATGTATAAAATAACTCAAACCCATTGTGCTGGGTGGCTTCCCCTGGAGACACCCTGTTGTGTCGGAAGCCATCCTAGCAGCTGCTTGCTAAATAAACTCTGATTTCTTCTGAACCCAGTTGGCTGTTTTCCTGACTCATCTGCGCCTGCAAATCGGACTCAACTTGAGCAGTTTGGCAAAGCCCTTGGGCAATTGCTCAAGGGAAGGGAAAAGCCTGCTTCAGTACTCTGCTATATTTATGGTGGAGTTACCCCCACTGAGGGTTATTTTTGAGCCTAACAGCTCAGATTCCCTAACAATTACTTGTCTGTGAAAGATCCCACATTCAATCTCTGTTGCACCAGGGTAAGGAAAACACTTCTGCTTGAAATCATAAGTGTGACGTGGACATGGGGAGTTGTAGTTTTACAAGGTCTTTACTAAAGAGTGTGTCACCAAACTGTAACTCCTAGTTTGCTGTCAGTTTTTGTTTGAGAACACAGAAATGCTGGACCACTCTCACAACCACCATGTCAGACTACACAGAGAAGCCATTGAAATCCACAAGCACGTGGACAATTTCAACAGAAAGGAGGAAACCATGAAAATGAACAAGATCTGGCTACCAGTATTAACAAAACTCTAAAATTACAATAGCACAACAACAGAGAGGAAACAAACAAGGACATCTAATCACCTCTCAACAAAAGTTTGCTCCAGGCACTGTCAGGCCATTATATGCTAATCAAAGGTAGTCAGTTGAAACATTCACACCTAGCTCCAGCAGACAAAAAAAAAACTCTAAAATCATAACAGTAAATAAAAACAGGGGAACTCCAGACAAGACACAATCAGGGACAGCTAATCACCTGTAAACAAAGGATGCCCCCAAGCAGTAAGAAACCACACATTGAAAACTGCTAGGCTATTATATGCTAATCAAGGTGGTCAGTTGAAACATTCACACCTAGCTCCAGCAGACAAGAGCCCTTTGTCTCACCCTGGTCATTTCACAGATATATAAACCCCTTTTCCTAGTTCCAACAGACCTCACTACCTCTGAGGATGCTTGCCATAGATGCAGGTGAAACGTCAGGAGAGAATGCCTCTAGACCATGGCCATATAGCCCAAAAAAACCCTCCAAGAACCTATAACCTCTAGTATTCCACAACATTGAGCCATGGCCATTCAAGTGCTATCAAAAAAGCATTAATTCAACAGTGAGGATGCACTCTTAGTTATCTTCCTCTTGCCCTCGGAGACATTGTGGCTCACCCTCTGCTTCACATAATCTTCTGGTTAGAAGTAAAAAAGGTTAGATTAAGTTTCTTATTCTGATTCCTTAAATGAGGGAGAGGGAATAATCCCCTTGTTTTATTCCCCTGATTTGGGAAGAATCCTTTTCGTTGAGATCTCAGTTTTAATTACATTTCTATGTGTGCTTGCTTGAAAGACAAACTCTGAGCATCTGTGGTTGCAAGTCCTATCTCTAAATCTCAGGTTTTCGCCTTGAAATCTCAGAGAATGAGATTATCATTATCTGGTGACCCTGGCTGTACTTCATATCCTATAAAGCTGAGCTACGATTCTTCTAGCGCACCTTCAGTCAACTTATGATGACTCCAAGAGTGCATCTACACTGCAGAGTGGATGCGGTTTGGCACCGCTTTAACTGTCATGACTTAATGCTATGGAGTCCTGGGTGCTGTAGTTTGATGAGGGACCAGCAATCTTTGGTAGACCTTGCAAAACTACAGCTTCCATGATTGCATAGCATTGAACTAGGGCAATTAAAGGTGGTATCAAACTACATTCATTCTGCTGTGTAGATGAACCCTAAGATGACCCTATCATGGTGTTTTCTTGGCAAGATTTGTTCAAACTGAATTAATTCTAGAGTGTAGATGTACCCTATAACTATTAATTGTGCCAAGATAGGGAGAGTTTGCTTCTTTAGCTGTATTGGAAGCCTCACAATTCCTCACTATTGCCTATGGGAGCTGTAGTCTAGCAACATCAGGAGAACATATGTCCCACTCCTGCTCGGATCCATTGTTCAAATGAATGTCTTCCCCTCAGTTAATAACATTACAGCTCATGACTGGTCTTGCACTGTTTGTTAAGGAACTCCTGCAGTCATAAAGGAGCTATGTTTTGTTTTTTCTCTCTGCAGGATGTTTCTTCACACAACACTGAAGAGCGAGAAGAAATTGGCTGGGCTTCCAGATGGTGAGTCAGTAAGAAACCGGCTGTTCAGCCAAAATCCTTGGCTTCCAGACAATGAAACAAGGATAGCATGCTGGCTGGCTCTGCGAGTTCTGATAACCCAAACCCAATTCCTCCCCCCCCCCCTTTTCTTTTCTTTTTTTAATAGTAACAATAATGTTAAGTACAATTGTTCAATCACGAGAATAGTCTTATTTAACACTGTATATTTATCTTTCCCCTTTATTCTGTAAATGAGACCCTTCCATTTTGCTTCCCATGTCCTTCTGCTTTGACCCGTCGTATAGTAACTTTTCCTTTCGCTAATATAATCTTGGAGAAGGTAATCAGCTAGATATTTATACCAAGTTTTTATATCCCATTTCTTGTGGTCCTTCCAGCCCAGGGCCACTGAGGCTTTGATTGCCTCTATCATTGTTTTATTATTTCCTCACTTTCTTTATATTCCCCTTAACTTTCCAATTTCTGGGTGAAAAATTGAGTCTTGTTCCATTCTATATTTATTCCTAATAGCGCCTCATTTTCCTTCCTGATTATTTCATGGAACTTTTGGATTTTTTCACATTCATAGAATCATAGAATCAAAGAGTTGGAAGAGACCTCATGGGCCATCCAGTCCAACCCCATTCTGCCAAGAAGCAGGAATATTGCATTCAAATCACCCCTGACAGATGGCCATCCAGCCTCTGTTTAAAAGCTTCCAAAGAAGGAGCCTCCACCACATTCCAGGGCAGAGAGTTCTACTGCTGAACGGCTCTCACAGTCAGGAAGTTCTTCCTCATGTTCAGATGGAATCTCCTTTCTTGTAGTTTGAAGCCATTGTTCCGCGTCCTAGTCTCCAAGGAAGCAGAAAACAAGCTTGCTCCGTCCTCCCTGTGGCTTCCTCTCACATATTTATACATGGCTATCATATCTCCTCTCAGCCTTCTCTTCTTCAGGCTAAACATGCCCAGCTCCTTAAGCCGCTCCTCATAGGGCTTGTTCTCCAGACCCTTGATCATTTTAGTCGCCCTCCTCTGGACACATTCCAGCTTGTCAATATCTCTCTTCAGTTGTGATGCCCAGAATTGGACACAATATTCCAGGTGTGGTCTAACCAAGGCAGAATAGAGCATGGGGAGCATGACTTCCCTGGATCTAGACACTATGCTCCTATTGATGCAGGCCAAAATCCCATTGGCTTTTTTTGCCGCCGCATCACATTGTTGGCTCATGTTTAACTTGTTGTCCACGAGGACTCCAAGATCTTTTCACACGTACTGCTCTCGAGCCAGGCGTCCCCCATTCTGTATCTTTGCATTTCGTTTTTCTGCCAAAGTGGAGTATCTTGCATTTGTCACTGTTGAACTTCATTTTGTTAGTTTTGGCCCATCTCTCTAATCTGTCAAGATCGTTTTGAATTCTGCTCCTGTCCTCTGGAGTATTGGCTATCTCCCCAATTTGGTGTCGTCTGCAAACTTGATGATCCTGCCTTCTAGCCCTTCATCTAAGTCATTAATAAAGATGTTGAACAGGACCGGGCCCAGGACGGAACCCTGCAGCACTCCACTAAGTGGAGTGCATCATTCCCACCACATGTGGGTGTATATTCCTATTTGTTGAAGATTTGTTGTTTGTTCCATAAGAAAGACTTTGTTGCATCATCAAAGACTCTAAAGACCATCACTTCAGAAAAATCCCTGAGAACCTCTCTTTGAGGCGCCCCTGGCTTCCCGCTGGGCTTAAAGTATACGTCCTATAAAAAAATACAGCTGTTACAGATCTTTAGTGATATTCTCTATGTTGACTATATTTAGATATAGCCTAGCCTTATTATTGTCTTTATGTTTATGTTTATTTATAGCCTGCTTTTCCTCTCTACAAAGGATCCCCAAATTGACTTGCATTAAAAGCATTTCAATATAATTTAAAGTCTACTCATATACAAACATTAAAATGGAATTAACTATCAATAGTATTAAAAAAAATCACAGTTCAAATCCATACAATCCATATGCGCTCTAGTTTTTTTTTAATCTGTGGAATAGATGCATACTGTGCAATATTTAACCACAGTTCACAAGTTCTGTTATCCTCTCTTGGGAAAAAATGGGTCACAAGTTCTTCATAATGAAACCAGACAAAGTAGACCTCTTCTTGTTCCTCCCAAGCTTACGCTTTGATTGAAAGCACTTTTGCTCTGTTTCTTCTAAAAGGCCTTGCAAGAAAAGTGGAGGGATGCCTGCCAAGATTTGTACACACTCCTATAAATCACCCCAGGACAGAAAGGAGGAACAGTTACAGTTGAATAGCCACAAACAAGGCAGGATTGCATTCAAAGGCTGTGGAAGAAGGGAGCGAGGAAACTAAGACTTACCGCATGACAAAGTCCGCTTGATCTATTTGTCTGCCACAGTTACTCTTCTTCAAAATCCCACCGTTCCCAACCACAGAGCATTTTTTCAGGGGCAGCTGGAAAGGAGTTGCCTAGAAATAGAGACATTTGCAATGGAGAAGATCACATAGGCACTTCCTTTGGAATCCAGCAACACTTCACAAATTTTGCAAAAAAGGGAAAACAGGTGTGAAACTAAGCATATAAACACAGTAGGGCTTTTTCTTTGCAGAACGAACGTGGTTCACGTTTTCTTTAACTGTAGTACTGAACAAACTCAAAATTCAAGATAGCCTTCTCCTGCACTCATGTGAAGGTGTTCCCTTTGGCAATCCCTTTGGCAATCCTTGAAGGCTGGTAACAGAGAACTGAGTTTATTAGTAAAGGTAAAGGTTTCTCCTTGACATTAAGTCTAGAATCATAGAATCAAAGAGTTGGAAGAGACCTCATGGGCCATCCAGTCCAACCCCCTGCCAAGAAGCAGGAATATTGCATTCAAATCACCCCTGACAGATGGCCATCCAGCCTCTGTTTAAAAGCTTCCAAAGAAGGACCCTCCACCACACTCCGGGGCAGAGAGTTCCACTGCTGAACGGCTCTCACAGTCAGGAAGTTCTTCCTCATGTTCAGATGGAATCTCCTCTCTTGTAGTCCAACTCTGAGCGTTGGTGCTCATCTCAATTTCTAAGCTGAAGAGCCGCCGTTGTCCGTAGTCACCTCCTAGGTCATGTGGTCGGCATGACTGCATGGAGCACCGTTACCTTCCCACTGAAGCAGTACCTATTGATCTACCTTTGCATGTTTTTGAACTACTAGGTTGGCAGAAGTTGGGGCTATCAACGGGAGCTCACTTAATTCCATGGATTCAAACCACCACCTTCCGATTACCAAGTTCAGTAGCTCAGAAGTTTAACCCACAGTGCCCCCAAGGGCTTATTAGTATGGAAATGGATAATAATAATAATAATCATCATCATCATCATCGAATCATAGAATCAAAGAGTTGAAGAGACCTCATGGGCCATCCAGTCCAACCCCCTGCCAAGAAACAGGAATATTGCATTCAAATCACCCCTGACAGATGGCCATCCAGCCCCTGTTTAAAAGCTTCCAAAGAAGGAGCCTCCTCCACACTCCGGGGCAGAGAGTTCCACTGCTGAACGGCTCTCACAGTCAGGAAGTTCTTCCTCATGTTCAGATGGAATCTCCTCTCTTGTAGTTTGAAGCCATTGCTCCATTGCGTCCTAGTCTCCAAGGAAGCAGAAAACAAGCTTGCTCCCTCCTCCCTGTGGCTTCCTCTCACATATTTATACATGGCTATCGTATCTCCTCTCAGCCTTCTCTTCTTCAGGCTAAACATGCCCAGCTCCTTAATCCGCTCCTCATAGGGCTTGTTCTCCAGACCCTTGATCATTTGAGTCGCCCTCCTCTGGGTATAATATTTATTTATACCCTGCCACCATCTCCCCAATGGGGACTTGGAATGGCTTACATGAGGCCAAGCCAAAACAGCAATTACAATAAAGAAAAAACCAAAGCACAAACTAAAAATGCAAACAATAAACAATGGCATCATATTAACATAAAACATATGCATACATAACAATGTAAAAATTACAATAAGCACAGGCACAATAATAATGGGCGGGCTACATGTAATGATTAAAAGACAAACTGATTAAAACTAATTAAAAACACGGGCGAGGTAAAGAAGAGAAGCAGGTAATTTGTGGAGGAGAGCTCAATTATTGGGGGGGGGGGTGGAAGCATAATAATAATAATAATAATAATAATAATAATAATAATAATAATAATAACAATAATGTGTTGTACCCGACCTTAAGCCTTAAGGAGTGACAAGTAACAAATAAAATTATTATTACTATAACTATTATTTGTTAATTGCTACTCCTTAAGGCTCAAGGTGGGGTACAACACTTCGAGCCTTAAAGAGAGGTAGGTGACAAATAAAATTATTATTATTATTATTATTATTATTATTATTATTAGAAACACAAGAAGATGAGTCCACAGCAGACAAGATCACTGCTGGCTGTTGTATTGGATCACATGGCGGACACTTCCCAAGTGTCTGGGACTGTGTGATGTATCGACAAATAATGCGTGCAGATCCCAGTAAGGTGGCCTTCTGCAGCTGACAGATGATAATTTTGTCAGCACCGATTGTGTTTAAATGCAGGCCAAGGTCTTTAGGCACTGCACCCAGTGTGCCAATCACCACTGGGACTACCTTTAGGGGCTTGTGCCAGAGCCTATGCAGTTCGATCTTTAAATTATTATTATTATTATTATTATTATTATTATTATTATTATTATTGACACAAAAGCACAGTATGTCACAGCAAACAAGATCTATATGATGGATTTTGTATAACAAAATCACAAATTGAACACTTCCCAAGTGTCTAGGACCGTGTGATGTATTTTCGAATGATGCGTGCAGATCCAGGTATTTATTTTTATATTATTATTATTATTATTATTATTATTATTATTATTATTATTTGTTTACTTTCTACTCCTTAAGGCTCGAGGTGGGGTACCACACAGTTAAAATACATATGTAAGACATAAGAAAGGGGCTGTGGTGGTGCATCAGGTTAAACCGCTAAGCTGCAGACTTTCCTAACCAGAATGTAGGTGGTTCAAATCCACAGGATCGGGTGAGCTCCAATTGTAAGCCTCAACCTAGCAGTTCAAAAACATGCAAATATGAGTAGATCAATAGGTACCGCATCGGTGGGAAAGTAACAGTGCTCCGTGCAGTCATGCCGGCCACATGACCTAGGGACATCTACGGACAAAGCCAGCTCTTCAGCTTAGAAGCAGAGATGAGCACCACCACCCAGACTCAACTAGACTTAATGTCAAGGGGAAACATTTACCTTTACCTTTAAGACATAAGACCATTAAAACACATATGTTAAAAGACATGAACCTAACATTAAGCATCGCATTTCTTGCCTACATCATAATGTGTTGTTCTTTCTTCGAAGGATTAATTGCCCCCTTTCTTACCATCTCACTCAAGGCATACGTCAATTATCATGTCAATGTCTTTCTTGAGCATCTTGTTTCTATAGTCCCATTACAAACAGCCAATTCTTAAGCAGCTGACGTTCACATAAAGGCTACAGTCAAATCTTGAGTTTTAAATTATACACACATGCTTTAAAAATGAACTCCGCATGTGGAATCCCTTTGAAATAGATCAGGGGTTATACTGTTTGTATCTGTTTTTGTCCCAGCACCATATTTTAGAAGTAAGATTGCTTTAGTTATTACTAGTGGTATTAGTCTTAGTAAGGATTTTTGTCTCCTATGTTTTGAATTTCTGGAATTTAAAAATCTCCTAATCCACACCTAGACCTATTAGGCTGCACCATTTTACAATTGCAACAAGCCTTTTAATTATGTTCATTTCCTATGGAGACTAGCAATATTGTATGGAAAATATAAATAATATTTATAGTTTCCTAATCCAGGAAGCGCAACGTTTGAGGTGCCTCGTTGCTTCAGGCAGTTAAAAATTAATTCTGGCACCCAAGAATATAAACATCTTCTGGGTTCTTTAGCAACCTGCTTCCCTCGGAAAAGGTTACTTTGGTGACTAAGAATCTCAAGTATTGTTTATAGCTGGCTAAACTATCATCACAATGTAATTACACTTTAACAGCTACCAGGATAATGAGCATTGGCAATATTTCCTAAGGGGAAAACCCTCCATTGGTTGAGTGCTTTCATTATGGAATGGTAGATTCAGTTACATGGTATCTTCAATTGCATACATGCCATGGGACTGAGAAAAATTTGATAGGCTTGGGTCCAGGCTACCTGATGGACCATATCTATATAAATAAAAAATGTAATGTTCATTTGTGGGATTAACATAACTCAAAAACCACTAGATGAATTGCTGCCAAATTTGGCCACAAGACACCTACTAACCCAAGGAGTGACCATTACTCAAAAAATTGATTTTGTCATTTGCAAGTTGTAGTTGCTGGGATTTATAGTTTACTTACAATCAAAGAACATTCTGAACTCCACCAATGATGGAATTGAACCAAACGTGGCACACAGGACTCCCGTGACCAGCAGAAAACACTAGAAGGGTTTGGTGGGCATTGACTTTGAGTTTGGGAGTTATAGTTCACCTACGTCCAGACTCAAACAATGATGGATCTGGACCAAACCTTACACAAATATTCCATTTTTTTTTTTTGGTCGTGTCAGGAGTGACTCCTGGTGTGAGAGAATTGGCCGTCTGCAAGGATGTTGCCCAGGGGACGCCTGGATGATTTGATGTTTTTATCATCCTTGTGGGAGGCTTCTCTCATGTTCCCCGCATGAGGAGCTGGAGCTAATAGAGGGAGCTCATCCGCCTCTCCCCGGATTCTAACCTGCAACCTGTCGGTCTTCAGTCCTGCCGACACAAGGGTTTAACCCACCGCGCCACAGGGGGCTCCGAATATTCCATATGCCTAAATATGAACACAGATGGAGTTGGCGGAAATAGACCTTGACATTTGGGAGTTGTAGTTACTGGGATTTATAGTTCACCTACAATCAAAGAGCATGCTGAACCCCACCAATGACAGAACTGGGGCAAACTTCTCACATACTTAAGGCTATCCAGTCCAACTCCCTTCACCAGGGCAAGAAAACATAATCAAAGCCCTCCTGACAAAGAGCCATCCAGCCATAGATATAGATAGATAGATATGATTCACACAGAGAGAGAGACGTATAGTATCCTAGATTTGAAAGGGACCCCTAAAGAAGAACAATTATGTGTTGCATGTTCCAGAGTAGGCAAATCAGACAATTTCCACATCAACACTGACAAAGAAACTGCAAGAAATACTGTTTTCCCACAAGCATAAAGACATTACATATATTAGAAACCAACACTTCTTAATTCCTTTATTTTCCAGATCACCAGACGGCCACAGCAACGCGTGGCAGGGGATGGCTAGTCTTTCCATAAAAGATCTTTGAGAGAGCTGTTCCTTTTGATACCATCTGTAACGGATTGGTCTACCTTACAGGGTTGGTGTGAAGGCAGTAG